CTTATGCCCTGTGACTCAAGGGTACTCGTGGCAGTGTAGCCGAGTGGTTAACGTGTCAAGATACCGTCCTACGTTGTCGCGGTTCGAATCCCGCTGAGAGTGTTTATAGGACCGATGCGAAGTCGAAACTGCAATCCACTCCTGTCTAGATGAAAACAATTTTTGGGAAAGCAAGTTTATGTGAAATTCAATGGAAACGTCAGCTTAACTCATATCATTGTGGGGAAATTCTACTACCAGTCCTTCATCACCTTACACAAAATAGGGTGAATAGATCTGATTACACTGATTACTGGTAGTCTCGAATACTTTATTAAAGTCGACAATTTCAACCTCAAAGCAACCTGGTACGAGAGGAAAGTTCTAGTCACCTGACACCGTCAAAAGCTCGAGAGTAATTCGACTTTTCCTTTCGTAGGAAATTTCGCGAACTGACCTCAAAGTTGGCCGAAAGAGAATTGCTTTGGATGAAATAATGTCTTTTTTTCAGCCAAGTTATTCCCACTTCGCGGTTTTGGGGCTCTGGAGAATCCGATCTGAAACCATCATATCTGATGCATATACCAAATTTTGCAATCCTATTGAGGCATTTCATGATGTATCTTCTATGCATAAGTAGCTTTTAGAGACTGCTAGTAGACCATACATATGAGATGTGTTCAGCATAGTTGGTACAGTGAGATAAAGAACTGGCAGTTGAATTGTTGCGCAATCACATAAGTATGCCTCAACTTTCCGTTGACTTTCAAATGGCCATGTTTTCAAGACGTTTTGACCTCGATTAGCTCTTATCAACACCCCTAGCGACTCGTGTCGGGATTATAAACTGCATAGCACAACCCGTTTCGAATCCCACTTCACGTGGTGATAAGACCTGGGCGAGATCAAAACTGTAGCTCAATCCTGCCTGGATGAGAATATCGTGTGGGAAGCAAGGCTATGTGAAATTCAGTCAAAACGTGAGATCCCCTTGATCGGATTGTGAGAAAATTTAACTACCAGTCCTTCATTTCCTTAAATGAAATAGGCTGAATGCGTCGGCTACTTGATGAAATTAATCACCAAGTAGATCGCAAAAGTAGGGTATAAAAAGCGGCCACTTTTCGTGCTCATCCCCAGGCTTCTGGTGAGGCCAACGTTTTCCTCGAATTGAAAATTAGCGCCAAATTAAAGTATCAAAAGAATCTTTTAACTACGGCATTTCCTCACCCACCAAGGGCTCATTTTAAACCCGTATCCTCAGCATATTGAACGTGATGTATGCCTGACCAAATGGCCATCTTCAAAGCTTGTGAATGATAATGAGGAATGCTACAACCCGACTTCAGCCCTGACCGCAACAACTTACTCGATGGGCAATACTTCGTGTGTATGACCTGGCGACACTTGCAGCCCTCCAAGCGATTGGAGATCAAGTGTACCACAAGTTGCGAGCCCGAGTCCGCAGGGTCGGTCTTCTGATTCACCACCCGGCGCCGTATGAATCCTTCACGGCAGGCGACTCGACGTCGTGTAACCTTTGCTTGAGTAATGCATTCACCGTCTCTCAGCTCCTCTCGCGTCTCCATCAAAAGCAGATGGCGGCCTCCGCGATCGCAGCGTTTTGCCAGCCTCTTGCCCGTTTGACAGCCTGTAGAAGAAGTCAAGGGATTACAAGTCTGTCGAATGTTTTAGATCTGTGGCTGCGTAGAATAATGATGGGAAAAGTGTAATATCCCTCCTTAGTCAACCAGATTGACTAAGTTCTTTTTTTTCGTATTTGCCAATTATCTGCATATAACAGACACCCTCTTCAAACAAATTGAGGCTAGAGAGCCAATAAATTTGCATTAACATATAACCAAAATCCGCAAATATTTATGAGGTTTATGTCATGTGTAAGTCTATAAGCATGTGTGCATGTATGCCTATTTGTGCCATGTGTTTCCGTGTTAACGTTAAGGCAAGTCAGCAACTATGGCAGCAATTATTATTATGACCTCAGTCATCACTCCAATTACGTAATGTTGATGACCGTTTGCGTAGAAACCCATATTTATAGAGAATGCGGCCGTGAACAACAGCATAAGCTAGAATGTACTAATTGAATAAATTAAGCACAATTATTTCTTGGACAACTTCTTCCTGGTATTCCGCATATTCATTTTACAATTAACAACAAACATTCCATAATCAGTAAAAGGACATAATTCAGACCATTCTATCCCATGTCCATTTGGCATTCCTCTGAAAACCAACTTTTTGTTGGGGCTACTTTAGAAAATTCCGCCAAATCTCTTTCCTACAAATGTGACCCTCAATAATTATAAATACTCATCTTGACCTCTACTTGAGCTGAGGCAACCAAGGCTGAATAGAGATTGCGAGCTCAGCTGTATTGGATCCTTATTACAAGTTGTGATGCCTTCTCTGCTAGAAAACCTACAGGAGTGACATTTGGCACTGATTGCTTGGCAAGCATTCCTCTGAAATCCCCTTAAGTTTTTCGATCTCCAACCATTTTCATCCGAGACCCGGGCAGACTAATTTTACATAAAGAGAACATTGTAGATCTATTTTTAGAATTAAGTATTCTTTTTCGTGTCTACCAGTAAATCAGTAATATGAAATGTATTCACCCAAATTGGGTGAATACATTTCATATTGTAGATCTACTCCATAGTAAATTATTAGTTTTCGAGACTACCAGTAAATAGAATACATGCGTTGTGTTCACCCCATTTAATTCAAGGTGATGAAGGAGGGTTAGTTGAATTTTCCTACAATGGTATGAGAAGAGTTGATGTTTCCTTCGAATTTCATAGAGCCTTACTTTCCCCAGAGTTGTTCTCATCCAGGATGGATGGCAGTCTTATCAACACCACAAACTGGAGTCGAAACATGACAGTTCAGAGTATAAGCTCGACACGTCACATTGCCATGAATGCCTTTGTATCACAGAGCATGTGTGAATTTCAAGGAATGTCAAGCATTTTTAATTTCACATTCTGCATTGTAATCGTCGATAAAACAAACCTATAAATTGCTATGGCAATCGATGACTACTTTTTTCGTAAATGAGTAGGTTTTCGAGACTACATACAAAACAAAGCCCGAGACTCAAACTAGCCTAAAAGCCTAGAATCTTCACTCTTCAAGAATGTTGCTAACGACAGCATAATCGCCTCCATAAGAAGAAAGATGTAGTTTTGCTCATTCTTTCTGGTTTCTTGCCTGTCACCAAGACTTCCCTTTCAAACCATCCGACCTCGTTGCTTGACCCTTTTCCCAGCAAAGCTGGTCACATTTCCCGTTGGCTATATTCAGCCCCAATAGACAAATTAATGAGAGTAATGATACT